ATTTGCTGCTTCATTCGAATTTTCCGTATGATATGGGCGCTTATGACCATTGCGAGATTGAACTGAAAAAAAAAAAAATTTTTTATTATTGTATTGCTAAACATTATAGAAAAGCGTGTTACAGCTTGAAAATCTGTAAAAGTTTTTAATCAGATAGAAAAGATAAATAAAATGCCTATTTATGTTTTTATTGGTATTATATTAAATATGTTTATGTTTTTCATAGAAAAATAAGATATTCATATTGTGTTGTTATATATGTATAATATAGTCAAATATAAATATATCTGTTTATACTTTAAAATATATATAATAAAATAAAATAATTTATGTATGTTTTTAATAGCGTTATAACAATAATCGTATGGAAATATTTTCAATTAATATATTATTAGATGAATTTATTAAAATTATTGAACAATTTTACGAACATTTTTAATATATATATATACATATGATCTTAACGGGTTTAACTATGATAATTATAGGATTTATCAGGACTTTATCAAAATTATTACATGTTTTCCATGATTTTATACAACTTAGTATATTTTTTTCTATTTTTGTTAAGAAATGATGATGTTTCCGTATGTTTTTATGTACCTATTTTCACTAAGATGCTTATATTTTAACAGGTATTGTTTTATGCGGTTTTGAAGAAAAAAAACTAATAGAATTTTTTATTTTAAATATTTTGAAAGGTATAAAGCAATATTTATTTTAATTTCATCGAAAAAGTAATATTTCTACATGAAGTGTTCTATTTTTTATAAAATAGGTACCTAATATACTATCTATAATAACCTAAGTAAGTTATATATATATATATATATACATATAAAGTTATGAATAATATATTTACCATTATAATCGTAAATATGTTCAGCTGGCTTAAAAAAATCTTGAATTTCTTGCTTGGTTATGGTTGATTGTTGTCGAACTACATTATTCGAACCTGAAAATAGTATTATTATTAATTAGATACTTGAATAAATTACATTTTATTTAACACCTTTATTGTTATATATTTCCTTTAGGTAGTATAACGTATGTATGTTGTATTAAATAATTAAACATGATATACGTAGCCTTGATTAAATATATTTTATCTAATAAATCTGTAAATAGTTAAAAATACTTACGATGTTTATCCTTGCTATGTCTGATGAGGTTATCTTTTCGCGTGAATATTTCTGAGCATATACTGCATGAAATCTTTTTGGAAACATCGTGTGACTTGGCATGTCTTTGTAGGCTACTGATCCTAGTAAAGGTCTTATCACATATACTACACGAGAACATGATTAGAAACTCGCGAAACAAGACTTTACCCTTCAACGAATTGATGGATAATGAATTATAGAAAAATATATTATACTTTAAATAACAGTGTGAAATAGTGTTATCGAAGCGAATTATTAACGTATTCGCTAATAACAGAACTAGCGGTAAGAAAATGAACTACGGTGTCCATTAAGGGGGAATATCCGATTGAATTATTAACAAATTCCGTTGGATCGCGCTACTAGTATTCAGAATCACGTAATTCTCCTACTC